GCAAGGGCCATAATTCTGAGAGTAGTGTGACATGGCTTCTGCCTGACTCTCCTTGCAGTCTCAAGCTCTGTGTTCCTTGGTCATAAGCTTAATTTGATAATGCCTGATAAACACAGGGCTGATCCCAGAATGGCCAAAATGTGATAGATTGGGGTGTGTTATATTTCCCAGCTAGGAAATGTGCAGTTTGATGGTGAATAGAGAGACTATTCTGAAATGAAATACAGATTATTTATTTTTTAAAAAAGCCTCCTGTTTCCTCCTCTTTTTCTTACTCTTTACTCAGAATAAACATATTAATAGATTAATCATCTCACCTCATCTAAGTAGATTAGCATAAATTTTTCCTACCCTTCACATTATAAATTGAGCACTGCTTTCTGTGCCCCCACTGACTCTGATACATATTTGTATTCTAGTTTTGTATTTCATTTTGTTTATGTGCCTGTCTCCCTCTAGCAGACCAGAAGCTCAAGGATAGCAGAGACAGTTGCTCCTATAGGGTTTGCATGTGGAAGGAAGCCAAAGTTCATTAAGGACTGAAAGAATGCATCAGATCACAGGGATGAGAGACAAATGTCATGGGGAGGGTGAGAAAAGGCTGCAACTGACTTTCATGCTTAAGGCTGGTTTCTATATAGGTACTTAGCTGGAACCCCTGTGGGGTGACCTCATTAATAGGGGATATTGAAATCTAACATTTTCACTCATTTGGAGTAACAACCTTCTAGGGTTTTTCATGAATTTTTTATACTAGTTTCTGGCCAAACATTTAGAATATTCTCTTTTATTCTATGCTTCTGAAATATATGAATGGTGGTGTGAGGTAGGCCAGCTTTGGGGGTATGCTGGCCTGCCACTTGGCACCCTGTTATGAATGAATGCCTGAGACCACTCAGCCTTGAATGGTTTCTGTGAGGGAAAGTGAGACTCAGTGTGGACATGGTCCATGTTTTTATAAACTACAGTGTGTAATAATTTTTCTAGATTTCCATGTTTTTTATGGATAATTAACATATTCTGCTTTGCTGATAAGAATCCTACAGAATCTAGATGATAGATATTTGGCACGTATATATTGCCTTTCCAGGTATGGACAAACAAAACCACTTATAACATTTCCTGGACACTGATTACCATGCAGAATACAGAAGTACAAGATATAGTTCATTTCCTTGGGCAGCTTAAAATGTAATCCAAAGGATAAGATTAAGATGTAGGAAATAATTAGTAATAACACATTATGGAATAAAACTAAGTGTCCAATTATACTTATTCTGGGCTTTTCTGGGGGTGTGGAGGCTCACGAAAGATTCGGGTCATTGCAGAATGCTTCCTAAAGCGGAAGATCTGAAACTGGATCTTCATGGATTGGTAGGAATTACATTGGAATAGGGGGAATGACTTTCAGATAAAGAAACTATTTGCAAAGACATGGAGAGCAGACAAACCTGGCCTGTTCCTGATCTGGGAGATAATCCTCTGCTCCAGCTCCTTCCATGCATTTTAATTAGACTTGGAGATGAATTTGATGGAGAGGGTTTTAATGGCTGGAGAAGAGTGTCGAGCATTGATAGGAGCCACTGAAAAATTCTGCTTAGGCAGTGACATGAAGAAGTGGTCTCTCAAACCGATAGAAGTATTACAGATATAGATGAGTCCAATATCAGATTGGGATAGAGAGAAGTTTTGGAAGGCTGTGGCACTGAGGCATAAATTATTAACAACTAGGTCCAAGAAAGTGGAAATGGGGAAAGCATTGTGAAAAATTTTAAGTAACATTAGATTCTCTTTTACTCTGTACATGTGTCACACAGTTTTCAATTCTTCATTATTAATTAAAATTATTGTGACATATATCAGTGACACCAAAAAATTAAATATTATAATTAACACCTCTATAAGCACCACTCGGATGATGAAATAAATCATTGTACATAGTGTGGATATTTTAGTGTCCTTTCTCCAAGCATATCTTTCCTTTAGAGGTACTCTGAACACTGACTTTGTGTTCATCATTTCCATGCATTTCCTTATTCTTTGCTATATATGCATACCTAAACAATATCACCTTGTTTAGTTTTTAGACTATTTATAAATAGTACCAATGCTCTTTGTGTTGTTATTTTAATTGTTCAGTATTTTGTTGATGTATAGATTTATTCATTTTTGCTGATATATGGTATTTCATTGTATAACTATATCATGATTAACCTATCAATCTTCTGTTGATGCACATTTAAGCTGTTTCCAAATAAGGCTTCTGTGAACATTCATATGTATTAATATGTCTCCTTGTGCTAACAAAAGAGACTTACCTTAGAGTATTTTCTTAGGAGTGCAATTCCAGGATGATGGTATTTGTACATTCACACTTAGCAGAAAAGCAAATTACCAAAAATGGTTGTACATATTTATATTCCCACTGGCAACTTCTAAGAGCTCTATATCCTTGTTGACACTGGTGATACATTTTATTTTTTGTTAATCTTATGGATGTGAGATGGTATCTCATTGTAGTTTTAATTTGTTGTTCCCTGGCTGCTAGTAATGTTGATCATTTTTTTGTCTCTTTATTAACATTCTAGTTTCCATTGATTGCACATTCATACACATTTCCCACTCTCCCACTGCTTTTTATAAACTCATTTTTAAGAGTTATTTATACATTCTGGATATTAGAGTTTTTTCTGTAATGTGCATTTTGATGATCTTCACCCAAATGGTGGCTTGTGTTTTCATTTTTGTAATGTTTGTGGGTAAAAAGATTATGTTTAAATTTTAAAATAGAAACATTTTGATACTTCTCTTTATATAGTATGGATATTTTGTTTAAAGAATCTTTTTTCAAATAATATTTAGTTATTCAAGCCTTTTGTATCCATGGTTATTTTATAAAGTTTTAATTATATTCTAAATTTGGCCATAATGCACATCTCTTCTTGGTCTTAATTTCTTCCTCAGTAAGTTAGACCTCCAGTTGGTTGTGCTCTATGAATTCTGCTGCTGCTCAACTTCAACACTTTTATCACTTTATGCCTGGAACACTCATAAGCCTCTAATGGGCCTTCTTGCCTCTGGGGATCTCCTTTTTCTGATTAAACTTGCATCAAAATGTATTCTTCTAAAGAGCTGTTAAAGTCCTCTTGAGACTCTTCAAACTTTGCCCTAGAGACCCCCATGAGGGCAGCAATCACATTCACCTTTGCTCCCATCTGCCCCAGACCTGGGTATGAACTCGGAACGTGGGTTCGGCCTTGGCCTTCACATGTGCCAGTGGGATGCGTGAGTGAAGGCACAACTGGCTCCCATCACTGCAGCCGCGTTTCCTACATGAGTCATCCCTGCCATCAGACCTTACCCATGACACTATGCTTGTTGGGACTGTGCTGTTCCAGCCACTTTCTTCTTCTTTGTTTCCTTTCTCTTCACGTAATATTTAAGCTCTGTCTATCTGATGAATTGTTAACAATAGATTCTTCTAGAGTCTAGGCCAAGGGGGGTCAGGGGTTTTCTTTACCTCCATGTCCTTCTATTGAGTTTGATTGTTTGACCACAAGCAAGGATTTCCTTTGAAATAATTGTTTTAAAGGCCCCTCTATCCTTCAAGGGCCAGCCAAATCTCACTTCTTACATGACACATTTTGTGACGACTCAGGTGAGGATCAACTCTCTTCTGAATTCCAGTTCATTTAATCTGGATCATTTACTTTATGATTTACATTTTAAACATTTTATGTGGATACTCTGAGATTTTAAGCTCCTGTAAGTGATGAATTAGCTTATTTGTTTTTACATCTCTCGTCGGCCTGAGCCCATGAGTAGTTTTTCAATGGGTAGCAGCTGCTTTCTTGATGACTGGTAATCAGTTATTAGAGATGGCATAGGCTGAGTGGAGATTTGGAATGTGAGGATATTGGGAATAGTGACATTACTGGAACAAGTAAGGGCTTGGGATAAGAAGCTGATTTGTAGTAATTGAGCTGTATTTTGGTTGTAGTGATTTTTGAGATGATATTGGACATAACTCATAAGCCACTTAGAAAATAGTAAAACTGAGCTTATGAAATGATAAAATTTGAGCTGTTGAGTTAGGGAGTTATGTGCTGGACGATGGTCAGGAGATTCTTTATACTTGCAGTTTTTTCTGTGTTCCAGATGGGAATTGTTATCTCCCCACCAGTCCTGATTCTGCTGTCCTGGTTCATCGAACCAGCTAGTAGTTGACTTAGGGAAAGTTAATTTTACTGAGCCCAGTTTTCTATTCTGAAAAATGAGGACAATTAAACTTACATATAACAGTTTTTGAAAGGATTAAATGAGCCAGCCTATGTAAAGCATCTAGTTCAGAGCTGGATTCATGGTGAGCAATTAATAAATACTGTTATTAACAATGCCATATATTTTACCTATAAGAACCAATCTGCCAGGCATATTTTACATCGAAGTAGTACCAAGTAAAAGAATTTAAAAATTACTTCTCTAGCCATGAAATATTTTTCTTTATAGGCTGAAAAATAAATTTCATGTTTGTTTATTATCTGATGGCAGTGACACCAATTCGCTGAACAAGTTTAATAATAGCTGCTATTTCTTGAGCACCTGGTCTTTGTACTCATGCAGGATACAGTTTCAGCATTGCCTATGGGCTCTGTGTGTTGCATCTCTAGGGAATACAGGGCCATGGTCCCCACAGGCCAGCCCTGTCTGATACGGTACCATATGCAGTGAGGAGATTACAAAACAAATCAAAGTCATGGATTTCTTCCCAAGGAAGAATTAATTGTGTTGGTGAGAAGACAGTCTCATGAAACAAGTCAGTGCATCTACAGCAGTCTTCAAAATGTAACTTTTAAGTTACTCTGCTTAGAATACATATTTCTTAAGGTGAGATGGGACTTGGAAAAATATGGAGATGAGACGTGGAAAAATATGGAAAGAGGTAGTCATGCCTTGATCCTTACAGAGGAGCAGCTCTGGTGATGGGGTAATGGTGGGCTCTAAGGTAGCTGCACAGGAGCAGGTGGAATGCACCTGTCTTTTGATTGCATTCACCTTCTCTGCCATATGGGGCTCATCTTCTGCCTCCGTGCCCTTTGTGTTCAGTAAGCTCATTTTCTTTCCTTAAGAAAAGGGCTCAGCGGCTGAAAACATATTCAAAACAGAATGAGAACACATTATTCATTGATTAAGTAGGAACATTCCATTGGTTTTTCACTAAGGGAAAAATTTCTGGGCAATTGGATCTAGATTATCTGGGTTTTGTAGTTTTCTTTATCTGTTATGGTAACACAATATTTCATATATTTGTGTTTGGGGTTTAAAACCTTGAATTAAAAAAATCCTTTTTTTCCTGTCTTTATTTCTTCAGGGATACCTTTTGGGTAGAAATGTTGGCATACATAAGGTGGCTTGAATTGCTCCAAAGAGAACAGATAAACACACATTTAATGTGATTTAAATATTGGCAATATCAGTTTACAAACAGGTTGTGTTCCAAAGGTGTATTCATAAGCTGCATGTTTTTGGACACTGAGCAGCATTTCCCCATGGAAATTGTGCTACACAATGGGTGGCTGGCTTCTAAATTAACCATTTTCAGAGTCTTTTGGACCCATGCTCTATACACCAAATAGTATTACTCTAATGAAAACCACAGATTGAGGACCCTAAGGTGTGACCAGGAACACACACTGTCCCCTCTGCTGTAGAACCGGGAGCCCCAGGCTCACAGAGGTTGGTGCTGGACGATGCAGAGGCACCAGCAGCTCCCAGGCGAGGGGGTGGGTTGCCCTGATCAGAACCAGAACCAGGGTAGGGGGTGTGGGTGCGAACAGAGTTTACTCATAGACACTGATTGTTAAATAGCTACACTTATGCAAACTTATCTGCATTTGAATACTTGAATAAAGGAAATAGAGTGTAGTTCCGCAGTCCTTGTGTTCTACATGGAGAACCAAGATATGTACAAGATAATGTAGGTTATTTAGAAGTCAGATTTCAGTAAGTTAGGAGTTATAGGCAGAAATATATTCTTTTAAACTTAGGTAATGTTTGCCAAAGTGTTTTTTCTATGTAGTTCACATTCGGAAGATGCTCACTATTGGTTGATGACCATTATCAATTCATTCATTCACTTATTCATTCAACCAAAAACAATTTACTGAGTAAACTACTATGTGCCAAGCACTATCCTAGGTGCTTTGAATTCAGCCCTGAGCAAGAACAGCAAGACAAAAGGCATGCCCCTGTGGAGCCATGGAGCTTCCATTCCAGCGGGAGGAAACAGAGAACAATAAACATAATATGCTTATTTAGAATGTTAGAAAGGAACAACAGCTATTTAAAAAAATAAAATCCGATTAGGAGGGATTGGTGTACATGCTGCTTTGATAGATTCGTGGTATATAAGGAAATGAACTTTCTTTTCTTTTTAAATTCAGACCTTTAGAAATATTCTAGCTTTAGCATTTGAAAGGCTTTTTACCAGAGGTGCGAGGTTACTTTTGCTGCTTTGTCATTCTTTTGTCCTTTCTGCTTTAACAGTAGTCTATACACTCTTCAGATATATTAATAGTATTCACCACATTGCACTGTAGCTACTTATTTCTGTTTTTATTTTTTTATCTCCCACTAGATTATGAACTGTAGCATAAGGCATATTTCCTACAAAATTTATATTTCTGTAATAATGTGACTAGCAGAAATAATAGTGATTATTTTTATTGAGTGCTTACTGTGCACCAAGCACATTATGTAAATAATCTCATTTTATCCTCATGCCTGCCTTATGTAGATAGTGAAATCATGCTTTGCAGAATATATTCTCAGACCTCAGAACTACCATAGGGGGAGTTGATAACTGAACTGAGGTCTGTTAGCTCTAGGCTCTATATTCTTCTGGTGCCTAACTTAGTGTCTGACAATTGATTGGCATCCAAGAAATGTAGAGGGAAATGGAAATCAAATAACTATTGGACTGCAAGACTGATATCTGTCAGAAATGTGTCTCTAGTAGCCTGCAAGATATACCCTCCTCTTGTTTTATTCACTTTACAACCTGGCTGGCCCTGGAGGTGGTTATTTGGAAATTCTTGAAATGTCACTTCCCTTATTTTTTCCTTAATTCTTCCTACTGTTTCCATACATTTCACATGTGGAGAACAAGATAGAAATGAAATTACTTCTGCTAAAATCACAATCCTTTCATCTGAAGGTGAAGCTACTTTGTTCTATAAGGTCTATGGTATTAAAGAATATCCATGTTTCCCTTTTTTGAGTTTTGTCTTGCTTTTTACTAGTGCCTGCTTCAGTGGGTTCTTCCAGGGTGCAGGCCACTTTGATGAGGCAGAGAACAAAGAGAATAAATAGATTGTGTTTGGCTTACCTTCCTCTTCCCACCTGCCTCCTCCCACTTGTCAGAGAAATTTTGCATGACAGAGGTGAATCTCTGTGGGACCTTCTGAGAGTGCGACCATCTGCTTGTGTCCTGGAGAGAATCAGTCTCTTCTTTCCAGGAAAGGCTCTGTCCCTGCAAGAGAAACTTCAGCTGCTGCTTCCCATGGAGTAATCTATTGGAGAGGATAAATGAGCAGGTACCTCAAAGACAAAGAAGCACAAACACAGATGAGATCTGCAATAAGGACACGATTTAGAGAACACAGTTAACAACCTGGCAACCTTTGGTAAGGTTTAGATAAGGACTTTAATGGCAAGTTGTAAAAATATGTTAGATAGTCCTCCTAACTTACCCTTGAAAGAAAGTCCTCATTGATTCTTAGGATTCTTTGCAAATTCAGCCTGATGGAAGTAAAAACTTCAGGCTGTTAAAATAGATATTGGTAAAACAACATTGTTGTACCCTTAACCCAAGAGCAAGATAATTTGCCTGGCCCATATAATACTTGAGTGCTACTATAGTTTTTGTTTTTGTTTTCACATTTAATTGTTTAAGAAAAAGGCAAGTTGAATATGTAAGCATGCCTGCCTCAGATAAATAAATATTGGTAGAGGATATTTGGCTTATGTAAATTAACAGAAGCTGAAATGAAGATGGATATATAAAAAACTGATTAAATAGTGAGTATCCTTTATAAAGTCCTTGCTGTTATTATAGTGTCACAGATGACAAATTTTATAAGTGAAATGTCTTAATTTTTTCTCCTCATGTTTCTATCTGCATAAGTTATTTATAATACTTTTGTTTGTTCTGAATTGCTTTATAATTTCTGACCCCAAATAAATTTAAATGCTTAATTGACTTAGGACATAAGTTCTAAGATGGGTCTAGTAAAAGAATGTACTGACTGTAATGTATTTATTTGTTGAGGATAGGAAATAGATTGCCAAGGCTTAGCTGTTATTCAGTCTACACATATCCTACATTGAAACTCAAATTCAATTTATTAATATTGGACATATTTAAAATTAATTTGTGTATACATGTATTGAATATATGTGAATCAAAATATTTTATAGAAATTCTATAACTGAAGTTGAGTAGCTCACATCACAGTCATATTAGATGTAATGATAACTGATATAATATTTTCTAAGGTACTTTGTTCCATCTGTGTGGAGTTTTGCCCCCTCCCTCTTCCTGGTTCCTCTTCACATGATTGCTTGTTTCTCATTAATGCTGCTCGGGACCATCCTTGGTACCAGAGTTCAACCTGTCCCCATCCTTCTCTTTCTTAGCACCCCATTTAGCATAGAGTTTATTAACAAATATTTGTCAAATATACGTTCTTAATAAATATTTGTTTAAAGAATGAATGTGATGTCTAAGCTCCATGATTTAGGTTTATTCGCATAATAAGAATGTTTTAACTTAGGCATGTTTTAACTTAAAGCCTTAAGTGATTACTTGTTGAAGAATTTGGATTTAAAGCTTTGGTTCAAAGTCTGAGTTCTACAAATATGTCAGCTCCTAGTAAGTGCTTGGCACTCACCAGTAGAAATGGCATCATCCCCGTGTCAGTGAACTCACGGGCTATCGAGAAAGGACAGGGGAGGATTCAACCCTTAGGGGTAGCAGGATTTGAGGGGCTAAAGCGTGTTGTGGTGGGCTTCAGCAGGGTCACTCGGTGCAGCAGGGAGTTTCTCAGACGTGAGGATCAGTGATGTCACAGGAAGTCAGGGTGGGAAGGGAGCACGCAGTAGATTTTAAGTCGATTTGCAGGAAGCTCCTTCTCGTCCTAACAGGGTGTCACTGACAGCGTCTGTGGCTGATCACATGCTCCTCTCTCAGGGTCTCAGTTTACCCATGTATCAATTGACAGAGACAGCCCTGTGACTTTGAGGCTCTTTTAAAATACTGATATTCTTTGAACTATAAATTCAGATGAGAGAGGTGTTCCGTAGGAGTTTCAGCCACATATGAAGGAAATGCTGGAGTTGAATGACTTCATGAACTTTATGACCGGGACAGTGAGCAGGCCAGGGATCCTGAACTTGAACTTGGACACTGGGGACTCTGCGGAGGAGCCTTGGGTGTGTTTATGTGAGCTAGGTGGGGAGCAAGCACGGCGAGTGGGACTGAAGGTGAACTGTGTTTCTTAGGGGACTGTGGGATAGCCCTTGAGGAAGCCGTTGCTGAAAGTGATGAAGGAAGAAGCGAAAGAGTACTGGGGCGGGGGTGGGGGAGTATGTGATCATGAGCGAGGAGAGAGTGTGAGAGACTTAAATGGTTACTTTCTGTTGAAAATTGTGGGCACACGAAGTGTCTGAGAAGGGTTCGTAGAAGTTTTCTATGTCCTGTGCTAGGGAAAAACCCTGCAATGAAATCTACATTATTCTTCAAAATTTCTGGATCATTTTTTTCCATCTATCTATCAGCAGGCAGAGTCATGCTTCAAGTAATCTGATCTATATATATGTGTGTGAGTGAATATATATAATAAGAATGAATAAATAAAGGTTATGAACACTTTTGAAGATCATGGATTGAAACAAGATACAGCCAAAGTGATTTTCTAAGGAGTTAAAATAATGTAGGACCTATCAGACGATAACATCAGTCTAGTACTACAAAAGCATTTACTGATTATTGGCCATGCACTATGTTTGATACTGGTTTATAAAAGTACCAGGTCATGGAGGGACCAGCATGGAAGCAAAATTTGGCAGTATGTCATAAGTATATGCGCAGCACCGCCAGCCCTTGGGGAGGCGTTACATAAATCTCCCAAAGCTTCTGTGGAAGCCCTCAAGTTTTTCTGATGTGGACAATCTGTTATTTGATGACAGTATTAGCCCTGGTGAAAAGAATAAGTACCCTTTCTATGTTACTTCCTGATTCTCTACGTTAACATAACCTCCACCTATATTAGGTGGACAATTCAAAGATTGTGAGAAGCAAGTAGAAATACCAATTCAGTATACAATCTTTTACAATCCATATTTACTACATAAGGGAGAGAGATTTTTAAACAAAGCCAAAAGCATACCAGCATAGTATGTGGCCAGGCCTCTGTATCTGTGAGTTGTGCATCTGTGGATTCAACCAACTGCAGATGGAAAATATTCAGGAAAAAAAATCTGCATCTGTTCTGAACATGTACAGAGTTTTTTTTCTTGTCATTATTCTCTAAACAATACAGTATAACAACCATTTACATAGCATTTACATTGTATTAGGTCTTATAAATAATCTAGAGATGATTTAGAGTATATGCAGGATGTGTGTAGGTTACAGGCAAATAGTACACCATTTTACATCGGGGACTTGAGCACCCTAAGATTTTGTTATCTACACGAGGTCCTGGAGCCAACCCCTTGTGGATATCGAGGGAGAACTGTTCTACATTAATTAAAGTTAATTGATCAATTATTTAGTAATTCTGAAAAATGCAAAACAGATCTAAAACATTATCCCTGTGTTCAGCTGTTCCTCTTGGCTAGCATGTTGCAGGGCACTTGATTATTTTCCCTGTCTCTAAAGTTGCATTAAAAAATCGTTGTCAATGTTTTAGTCGGTCGATAGTCTTCATAAAATTTCAGAAATGAATCAACCCACCTGTTCCTAGAGCACCGTCATTCCTTGGCAACTTTATTAGATTTTTCCTCTTGGCTGCTTTATCGTTGTTTTGGGAAAATTGTTTTTCTTCTAAGTCCTGGCAGCCTGAATGGAGAAAGCCAAAATCTTCCTTCGCTTGTTAGATACTTCTTCTTTGTTTCCCCAAAAATAAATTAAACCTTCTAGGACAGTTTAGAAATTATTGATGATGTTACCCAAATATATATAGGCATAAATAAAGTTTGTAAAGTACATTGATGGAATCAACTTAGCAAGAGCTGTTAGTAAAGTATTTTAGATAAATAACGACTATTAGATTCCATTGGAGAATATAAACCCATAGGTTTCAAAAGAGAAGCTGGCTCACCTTCAGAAAGGTGTCTTGCTGAATCTAAGAAAGAACATATCTGTCGACATTTAACTTGAATTCTACATGGGTCAGTAATTCTGAACTTCATCTATACATTAAATCGCCTAGAGAACTTTTTTTTTTATTTTGGCATATTATGGGGGTACAGATTTTAAGGTTTCAATAAATGCCCATTTCCCCCCCTCCCCCCACAAGTCTGAGTCTCCAGCATGACCATCCCCCAGATGGTGCACATCTCATTCATTATATATGTATATACCCGCCCCCTCCCCCCTCCCACCTGCCCAATACCCTATTACTGTAGTACCTATGTGACCACTTAGGTGCTGTTCAGTTAATACCAATTTGCTGGTGAGTATATGTGGTGCGTGTTTTTTTTTTTTTTTAGACAGAACCTCACACAGCCACCCTGGATAGAATGCAGTGGTGTCATAGTAGCTCACAACAACCTCAAACTCCTGGGCTCAGATTACCCCCTGTCTCAGCCTTCCAAGTAGCTGGGACTACAGGCATGTACCACCATGCCCAGCTAATTTGTCTGTTTTTTGTAGAGACGGGGTTTCACTCTTGCTCAGGCTGATCTTGAACTAAGCTCAAGTGATCCTCCCGCCTCAGCCTCCCAGAGTGCTAGGATTACAGGCATGAGCCACTGTGCCCAGGCAATCCTGGGAATTTTAAAAAAATACAGACCTCAAGCCCTATCCTAGCCCATCATTGTCTCCATCTGTAGGGTGTGCTCAGGCATGAGTGTGTTTTCAAGGCTTATCCTATGATTTTAGTACATTTAAAGATAAGAACTGATGACTAAAGTGGCCCCCAGAGTGCAGTGTCTGGACCACCAGCGTCACATCGCCTGGGAACTTGTTAGACATGTGTATTCTCAGGTTCTAGTTCAGGCTTACCGAATCAGGAGCTCTACGGGTGGGGCCTAGAAATCGGTGTTTTAACAAGCCTGTGGGTGATTATGATACGCACTAAAGTTTCAGAACCACTGGCCTTCAGGTCCCTGCCTCCAGTCAAGTACTTACATGTCCCTGCCTGCAGGTCCCAGGCAGTCATGCTTGGAATTGGCTCTTTCCATGAGACAATGAAAACATAAAAGATCGCTGCTTAAAGCATGGGATCATTACTAGTATCCACCTAACATGGGCATGTCTGTCTGCTGTCCAGATTGCTTTCCTGGAAACTTTTCACCCTTTCTTACTTTCAGAACTATTTCTCTGAGCTTCTAACGTTCTCCTTACAATGAAAATCATCTTACATATTTTGAGTTTCTTTGCTGGTTGTTCTGGCCACTTTTCCTGTGGTTCCCTGGTCTTTAACCATCTTACTTGTCTGATTTGTGACACCTGCTGAGGTTTGAGTCCCGAGACCTCCTTGGTTCTCCGTGCATTCACAGCCTGTCTACTTTCCTGCTCCTGCCCAGCTCCTATGTAAGTGACCTGCTGTTGACCTGGCCTTGGGTGCTTTGCAGTTTAATCTTTTCATGTGTTGGGAGAGGAAAGTGAAAGAAAGAATTCAGAAGCTGGGCAGCTTTCATCTCCCCAGAATTACATTTTTGCAGAGTGGTTTTATTGCTGTGATTAAAGAGTTATGAGTTTGTAGAACATCTGGAGCAATTGCATTCAAATATACCAACACTCTTTCCAAAGTTAAATTATAGATGCAGCTAAATCATGGCAATTTCACACCAGAGCCTTCCCTCCGCCGGTGTGAGGATTGTGGTAGGATTGGGTGGTTTGATGCTGCTGCCTCTTTTGTGACCATTTTAACGACTTCAGTCCCTCCTCTCTTCCACCTTGTATATTGCCTTCTAGGACTCTGGGAAATATCTTCCCTAACTCCCATTCCTTTCCTTTTCATTTTGCCATGATATATTGCCATTACTCAGAATTGTGTGCCAGTATTTTTATGTGACTGTATTTTCTGTTTCAGGTGCATTATCCTTGCAGTTGCTCAAGTCAGAAACTAGAGAGGCGGCCTCCACTCTTACTTCCCTACATCAACCCGTCACATTTTACTGGCTGCTTGCCTTTCTCTCAAATAAACTCCCCTCCCACAATTCAGGAATTTCTATCCTACCTGATACCTGCGCCGTCTCTTTTCTCTGCAAATCGAAGAGCCTCTTTACTGCTTGTTCTGTGTTCACTTTCACCCTCCTCCAAACTGTCCTCGGAAGTGTTATTAGACAAATCATTTTGAAATACTTTTATTTTGCCAAGTTCCCAAATTAAACCATTTGATGTTTAGCCCTCTGTGACCTATCAGATGAAGCTTCAAGTTTTTAGTGTGACATTTAAAGTCTTTTACGACCTGGTCAAGTGTAATTTTCCAACCTTACCTCTTAACACTGTTGCACATCTTGTAGTTTTTATGCTTCAGGCCACCTTGTTTGTCATTTCCTAAATAACACAGTATTATAATGATGTTTCTATGTCTTGCTGCTGTTGTGTCCTTTTCTTAGCATGTCCTTACTTCCTTTCTTCATGGCAGACCTCTTGACATTGTTCAAGGACAGCTGAAGGTCTCAGATTTACATACCACTTCCTCCGGGGTCCAGCAGTGTCTCACGTGTGCTCGTTACAACATATTGTAAGACTTTTCCACCATGCTGGTCTCTCCATGACCCGTTTGAGAAGAACTAGCTTCTTGCAGGAGGAGAAGAAGCACTCCTCCAGAGGAGTTGAGAGTTGGGAACACTAAAGGATAGTATTGGAAGCCTCTGGAAGTGTATGAGACCCAGGGTACACAGACTGCATGATGGAGGCCTTGCAGCACAAGGGAAGAAGGAGAGTGATGCACAGGCTACCTTTATAATTTCAGCAGATTCAAGGGTTTATTTGCAGAAGAAAGTTCAGAAAACAAAGAGTAGAGCTTAAAAAACAAAGCAAGAGAAAGGAAAAGTTAGTGTATCAGTTATCACTTAGTGATCTAAAACAACCGTTATATTATGCTTGCAGTTTCAGTGGGTAAAGAATTCAGACAGGACATAAAATTCTTATTGGGGAGACATATGTAGACAAGTGTATATGATATAAAGTGGCAGAAGAAAATGCTGTGGTAGAGGGATATAATGCTTTGGGAGTAAAGAACAGGTTTTAATTCATAAAATAGAAGATGAGTTGGAGAAGGCTTTGTGAAGGAGATACCTTTTGGGTGTTGGGGCTTTGAGTAGAAGTTTATACACAGATTCAAGTTCAAGGGATAAGTGATAAGTGAGAGATAAGTGAGTAGGTGAAAGGACTAAGCTGTTTAGATCACAGTGAGTAATTTGTGATGGCTCCAATGTAGGGAATGTGGCCAGATACCCATCACATCACTATGCAGCAAAGAGTCATTGACTTTTTTTTTTTTTTCCCTAGCAGAACTCTCTTTTTTAGAGCCCATCCAGATTGTAATACTAGCATATTCTGGAAATGACTGAAGAAGAAACAGAAGAAAGTCAAACATACGTGTATAGGGTTTGTGTTCCTAAATCTCTAACAGATAAGATACAGTTAAGGTTCTGGTGATGAAATTAGGGAATGAGTCAAAGTGATAGAGTGTCCTGGCTCTCAGGCCTTCAGGATTCTTTCAGAATAGGTTCTTCCTGCTTTTCTGTGAGAAGAGTGTCAGCTCCGTGAGGGTTGCTATGTCTACACTGGCTAGAACAGTGCCTGCTATGTTATTAATAATATTAGATGAATCAGCGAATTAGAGAAGTTTTTGATGTGTTTTCCATCAGTGTATGTACCCATTTCCTTCTAACTTCTTCAAAACCAAAATATTCTTGGTGGAGCTAAGTGGTTTTTAGAAGTTTGGTTTTTGTAACTGATTTCTACAAGATAACTGAATACTTTTTGTTAATAGTTGATCATTAAGTCAAATAACTGGGCTCAAGAGCAAACTAAAATTAAGTGGAATTCTATTAATAATATACTGGAAGAGAAAATGTTCCCAAAGAGTATCAGTCCCTTTCTAGCACCTTATTACAGATGAATGAATTGAGGCTTAGAGAAATTCAATGATTTAGCCACAGTTATCCAACTAACTGCTTAACGTTGAAGTCAAAATAGGTGTATCCTTCTAATATTAAGTGTATTATTTAGTTGATTGTATAATATAGCATGACACTTGGGTTTTAAGGTCAAATCCTCGCTTGAACTGTATGTGTAAAACATCTCCATTTGGCTCTGCTCGGTTCTCAGAGGAACATCTCACCCGTGTGACTGTTGAAAAATTTAAATCCTAGGGTGGCAGAACTCAGGAAAGGAAAGGAAAGGAAATCAACACTGTAGTATAGGTGATTGCCACACTAGAAAAAAAGTTTATGACTAGAAAAAAATTTTTTTTTCCTTGGGGCCACGGTGTTTTATTATGAAAATAGAATAAAAACATTAAAAACAAAATGATTCTTTGTAATTTAATGAAAAACAAAATTTATCGAGTTCTATTCATTTAATCCACGTTTTAAGAATTAATCTGTCGGCCGGGCGTGGTGGCTCACGCCTGTAATCCTAGCACGCTGGGAGGCCGAGGCGGGCGGATTGCTCAAGGTCAGGAGTTCGAAACCAGCCTGAGCGAGACCCCGTCTCTACCAAAAAATAGAAATAAATTAATTGACCAACTAAAAATATATATACAAAAAATTAGCCGGGCATGGTGGCGCATGCCTGTAGTCCCAGCTACTCGGGAGGCTGAGGCAGGAGGATCGCTGAGCCCCGGAGATTGAGGTTGCTGTGAGCCAGGCTGACGC